TTTCATCTATTTACATGCTGCAAATGTATGGCACAGACAAAAAAGGTCTCTGCAATACCACCTACTGCATTTATCTGTTGGGCTAATATTCTAAATAAATGCACCTCAGTAACTGTACTGTGTGCTAACTTACATTACATGAATGCATGGTAAACGTATGTTCTGCTGTGCGTCACTGCAACACATTGGTGTGAAGAAAGCCTAAAGGTTTGCTTCATGCAAGGAGATGGTTGGCTGGTATTTTCTGCGGCTGATGACAGTACAATTGAGGCTGATATTCCTGGGAGGATGAAGATGTTACAGAGAAGAGAGCAGTGAGAACGCGAAGTCTGATGGGAGGTCTGTGTTTACAAAAAGTACATTTGAGATGCAGGATGACCATATTTTGATCTTTGAGTTTAAATCAGATGAATACATTCCACGTGCTAGGCCCTAGGACCTATTTATGCCACACCGGTCTGTTGCAATGCATTTATGTTGCATTTATGCTTGTTTTGAGAGCTGCATTAAGGCAGCCCATTCTGTGTGCTGCAGCAACATGCACTTTGTTTTATTTATTTATTTTTTTTTTAGAGAGCAACCACAGTAAAAATGCCTGTCCCCTGCCAGCATGCTGCAAGGAAGGGCCATTCCGCCATGTGTAAGCAGTGGTCTCTCTGCAATGGTCCTACACATCCCCTGCTGGGTCAGAGCTAGAGCTCTTCCATCATCAAAGCTCATGCTCCCTGCTGATTGGAGAGCCATAGGTCTGACTCAACAGTAAAGAAACGGCAAACCTAGATACTCCTGCGCTTAGGGATGGACTCTGTATGGATAGGACCACATCGCAAATTTCTTGGGATATGCACGCCTTGCTGCCCTCAAATGACCGGGGAAGTCCAAATATACTGAATAGAGAAAAACAAACAGAGGGCGCACCGGCCTAGTGCATTACCTTACAAAATGTATTTATGAAATGATAAAAGTAGGTATTGTACTCACAAAATGACAATACAGTCAAAAGCACATCATAAAAGAACAGCTCTGTCCAATCCTCACTACGTGTCTGTCTAGAATAGGAACTCTGACCTCTTCTCATTGGCTCCCACTGCTGTCAATCACTGCCAGTGAGCCAATGAGAAGAGAGGGGGCGGGGCCAAGCCATGGCACCATGTGTGAATGGATACACAGAGCAGCGGGTGCCTCATAGCCAAGCTGCTTGCTGTGGGGGCACCCGACAGGAGGGAGGGACCAGGAGTGCCGATGGGGTACCGAGAAGAGGAGGATCCGGGCTGCTCTGTGCAAAACCACTGAACACACCAGGTAAGTATAGACTTGTTTGTTATTGAAAAAAAAAAAATAACCCTTGCATTATGCCATTGTTGATTTTGATGTTTAAACACAAAAGACATGCAGTACTTCCCCTGGTTAATCCCTCTTTTGAGCCTATCGTGTGTCTTTTTTACCCTGCCTTTTATGTCTTATGTACATTTCACACAAGATGTTTGTTGTACATTTTAAAGTGACAAGCATAAGGGTTTGATTCACACGTGTGGCTGAGGGGCATTAAAACCAGACAGTTGAGCCATGGTTTTTATCACCCCCTGAACGCCCACCTAAACACTAACATACAGTCAAGACAAAAATTAAACAGCATTTCGCCTTTGGTAGGTGGTACTGCCTGCTAATGCAGTTCTATGGAGCTGCACCGCAACTGCATGCAATACACATGATTGCGGTTTGGCAGTGCTGCAATTATAGGGTTAACTCAGGCAGTGAGGATGCAACATATTGTCTCCTCATCACCTGTTAAACACCTCTGAAAAGGGATTTGAGCATGGATTCTTTTTCAGAGCAGTAGCAGTCCTCGTTGCACATGTAAGCAAGCCCTAAAAAAGCCAAAGAAATGAATATGAAAGACACACGTGATGAAATAAGAAAATTTAATATTAATTCAGACCATATTGTATACATCAGCATGGAAAAAGATATTTAACAAAAAAAAAAAAAAAATAAGTCTACAGTCCAGCTTTTTCACACTTTCAGCTTTTCCACCCGTACCTACCACGTGAGGAATTCCTGTTCCAAAAATTGTTCTAAAGCAAACAATAAACAAAGATATATTCTTGATACCTGACCAGCAGATTATAACTATTTTATATATAAAAAAAAAACTTTGGTGATCATGTATAAAAATCGAGTTGTACCATCGAATATTCTTTAAAGACCAACTCACCCCACTGGTAATATGACTCACCAGTATCCATCCATCCGCAATTGAAGCATTACTTTTGGATGGACACTTATAAAAGTCATCTCACCTTTGAGCTTTTTACATCTCTAAGTCTGACCACAGGTCAGTTTCCAGAAGATCCGACAAGAGTTTAAAATGTTGCGATATGATTTGGGTTTATTGAATTTTAATTACCGTGCACAGGTGCCTCGATTATGGACATTATTGTATTTACATATTCTAAATAAGAGCTTTAAAACAAAATGACAATGACCTCTGTAGTTACAGGCACTGAAGAAAAAATCATCCTCAATGGTCACAACAGACACTGGAATCTCAGATCCTCTCCCCTATTTTCTCTGGCAGCTGGCCAACCTTCTAATGAAAACAAACAGAGCATCTAAGCAAGCACTTCTTAAGCTGGCCATACACTAGCAGATTTTTGGATACAAATTCTCATCAGTACATGGTTTGGTTTTGACATTTGATTTTAAAGTGAATGGAATTTCCCAGAAGAAAACCACATGCACTTTTAGAAATTTGTTTAAGAATTTTTTTCCATTCCTGCTCCTTTCGAATATTCTCATCACTTTAATGAATGTCGATTTGACTCCACTAACAATTAAAAAAAAAAAAAAATCGAACAAACATTCTTGAAATAAAAGTTTTACTAGTGTATGGTCGGCTTTAAAGTGGATGTAAAGGCTGGCCATACATTATACAATTTTCTTGAGAATTTTGCTTTAGGTTTACCAAAAACCATATAATGAGGTCAAACCTAAACAATCCTTTTAATTGTATCCAATTAGGCAGGCCCTTGCACTACATAGAAGGCAACTCTAAATTGGGCATTGGGCAGAAAATTGAATAGTGTATGGCCAGCCTTAGTAAAAAAAAAAAAAAAAAAAAAATTATGTAACCAATTTAAAAATGATTATAAACTATACATGCATCGTTGGCCCTATCTGAGATATTGCAGAAGGAAATTTTCCAGCTTGATCGTAAATCTTTTTGGAAGCAGGTCCCAATCCCCCCTTCTCCATGGAGGGGAGTGAAAGGTCAAAGTTCCATGTGCATGCCACTATACTATAGGTGTAGGCCACAAAATGTAACAAGTCTTGGCAATTCTGCAGCTTATCTGAGAACAGACAGTTTCCCACCTGTCCTTCTAATGGAAATATTGTTCTGTCCAATGTAAATCAATTATCCTTCATTTATGATCATTTCAATAACAAAATACTGATCAAGATTTTTCCAAATCTTTGCCGAATCCTCTTGAAAACTGTCCTGTATATGGTCACCTACAGACTCCAGTTGTAAGGTTTAGTAGTAGTTGTATCTCACTCCCCTTATACAAGGACACAATAAAGCTGTCAATCCTCAATCTATTATTTTACAATATGGAGGATCAGCTGGAAGTAATCATTGTGAAACCATTAAACTAATACCATATATGGTCAAAAGTTTGTGAACACCTGACCGTCACACCTACTATATGGCCCAAAATATTGGATACCCCTCCAAACTATTGCGTTCAGGTGTTTCCAGTGAAGGGTATGGTTCTTACTACAGTATATATAATACAATTGTGTATTTCCAACCCTGTGGTAACAATTTGGAGGAGGCCCTTTTTAGCTCATGCATTACTGTATCCTTGTATATAAAGTTGACTTCATGAAGACTTAGTTTGACAAGTTTGGTGTGGAGCAACTAAGGCCTTCACAAAGCCTATACCTCAATCCTGTTTAATCACCACTGGAATAATTTAGAATGGCGATTGAGAGCCAGATCTCCTTATTCAAAGTCAATATTTGACCTTGCAGTCTCTTTTGGCCTAATGGGTACAAATGCTTACAGAAACACTCCAAAAGCCCTTCCAAAAGGGTGGAGGCTGTTATAGCTGCAAAGAGGGGCAATTGCATATTAATACCCAAGGGTTTGGAGTGGTAAGTTCAGTATAAGTGTGGTGGTCCATAAACCTTTGCCCATATAGTGAAGCTCCATCACTTGGACAGCTATGGCAACTATGACAGGGACAACTCATCACTGAAGTCACTGAGAGATATAAGAAGCTCTTTAATTTATTATGTGAGAAACCACATAGAAGTGAAATATTTTGTATAGAGCTGGCCTTTCAACCTTGTGGATTATGGAAATATTATATTAAAACATACAATGTCATTAAAAAGTAGGAAAAAATGTATTTACATTCCCATTATGTACAATTTGGGGTAGTTCCCCCCCAAACTAGCTTTTTTTCTTCTGTTAAATGGAAGCATTGGATTGGTGGTTGATAAAAACGGTGGCTTAAAGAAAAACATCCCCACAACTTTCCTGCTAAAATCCTTCATTTGAAAATAACCAATACTGACTTAAACCGTTTCAAACCATACGCCCATTCACTGCGATGAGGCCAAAACAAATTTTTATGTTGTCCGGTGTGCTGATCCCAAAACAAAGTTTGTGCTTTTTCTTGCAAAGAAATCCGCAGAGCTTATTTTTGGGCTACCAGGTAAAGATCCACTAAATTTCACAGTTTTAAACTTTTGTTCTGATCATGCACGCGGTCTTCCACAAAGTGCTTTCCATGTTTGACTATAAAATCCAAGTGCTTGTAAGCCATCAGACTGTGCCACTTCAATAAAAAAAATTCAGGAGGAAGTTGCCCGATTCTTTATGGCAGGCCTGTGCCACATGGGCAGTCAAGGATACCTCGAAGCAGCGGCAAGTCTTACGATATGGCAATTAGTGCAAGGCACGTGAGGTGAGGAATGAAGAATTGGCCGCTTCAAACTAAGGTGCCCGGTTTGGAATCTTCATGCCACAGGATGTCTTGGTCGTTGGGCAGGGGGTCGCTGGGTAAAGGCAAGATTTCTGGGTCGTCCAACTGGGAAGGATAAGCGACAAACTCCTGGAAATCAAAACAGAAGATAAAATGCTTTAATTGATGACTTTTTACGAAAGTAAAAAGGTGCATTTCTGGAAAGTATTTACAGACATAAAAAAATATGAAATTTACTGTCCCACAAATACTAAACATAAATGTTCAAAGGATTCTTTGAGCCAAATGTGGTATTTCAGTGGCAGATGGAGTCTTGCAGTCCCCCATATCTTATGTCTAAGAATCGCTTTTTATTTCTTAAGCCCTGTACACATGGGCCAAATATTGGCCGAAATCAGCCCTTGCAATAGAAACCAGCCTGCGTGTACAGCTGCTTGTCCAACAGAAGCCGATCTCACGACCAGCTTCTGTTGAATGGGCACGCTGGAAAACCAGCAGCCGATCAGAATCCAATTAGCGCTCTCAGTGAATGGCAGCGAGTGCTGACTGGTGTGGTGTGTTCTGGCAGGGGGGCAGTGCCTGTCAGAACACAACAGCAGAGCAGTTTATAGTTAGTACAGAGACCTCCTCAATTTTTTTTTTTTTGTTCAACCTGCTGTGTTGTGCAAAAGAAAAAAAAAAAATTAATGTGTACTAGGAATTACTAAATAAATAAATATTCACAGTCATTGGTGGCCAGTGGCACTTTAAATTCCCCCTGGCCCTTTCACCACCTTAAAAACAATCCCTATTCATCAGTGGCCAATGGCACTTTAACCCCCAAAACAATCCCAGAATCATTGCTGATTAGTAGCACTTTAACCCCAGCTCTGACCCTGGAGAAACAAATTCCACCATCATTGGTGGTCAGTAGCACTTTAACACTTTAAGACTCGCTACCTTCACCTTCCATCTGCTGATCCTTCTTCCTACTGTGTTTACAAATATTTAGTGCTCCCTTTACTCTCCTTCCTCAACTGAATTGGCTGAATGTTTGTAAATGCTAGCAGTATTTACACCTGTGATGACTTTGATTAGTTCACAGTGATCACAAGGTACTGAGCCACTCTGATTGACTCTGTACATTGTGCCTGTGATCAGAGCTGTTCAATGACAGCCATTTACGGAAGCACTGGCCACCCACGTGTGTTTTTTTTGAAGAGCCATTTATACCGGCCCATTAGAAAATAGGGTCCATCTCCTCATCATTTTTTTTTTTTTACAATACGTCAGGGTATTGAGCCAATTAAAGTGACCTGTCACCACAGGTTAGCTTGCAAAAAACCCAGCACTGTAATAGGACAGGCACTATACTTACCTTTGCAGTGTCCTGTATCTTGAAACACACTTCTGGGTGTGTGAATACCTGCTCCTTCCACCACGCACAGTGGCTTCTCCAGCCAGCTCATAGGTCACTCCAGAATGTACAAGTCAATGCGTTGAACATTTGTTCTACATACAGTACATGATATTATCTAATTGGACAACTCTCTTTTTCAGGTTTACTTCAGCTCTAGGTAAACCCGTACTATAATGACTCAGAGCTTCCAGCAGCATAGTGGAGTGGCTAGGAAGTGAATGTATAAAAAGGTATTTGCTGCTGGGGAGGGTGGCGGTAAAGGGAACCGGTTGCTTTTTCTTTGTGTCCAACCTCAAAAGGTCATGCCATGAGAGGCCATTGACTTCCAATAGAGAAACTTGCCACTGGCAATGTGTCTCCTGCAGAAGAAGCACCAGTGTGATGCGGTGGCCCCTGGGCAGGACATATACTCTCAGACGTAATGCCGTGTTGCACCATAAATGGGATATTACACTGGCCATTTAAATCATGGATTTCCAGTAAACAGAAGTTAGAACGTTGGAATGAAAAGAATTTTCCAATGCTAACAATGTCTTATAATTAATCACATGGTTCACACAGACAAAAGCAGAAATAAAAAAAACAAGAGTGATTGGAGGCGGTGCTTTTCAGAATGTTACGGGACAATGCAGTTGGAGAATGCAGCAGCTTGTCAGGTCTGACCACAATCTGAACTCACCTGCTTGGCAGAGGTATGCTGCTGTATGCTGTGGAGTAGCCGCTGTACTGCGAGTGAGATGAAGCCGTGTTGTATTCTGGGTACGCCATTGTACTGTTATGTGCCCGCCGACTTCCTGGGGTGTTCGTGGAAGACACTGAAATTTAAACAATGAAGACTTCCATATATAGTTTTTTTCTCTATTTACCTTTAAGATACCACAGACTAAGACCCCTGCAGATAGCAGGGAGGATTTGCTGAGAATTGAGAAAATCATGAGTCACATATGATTATCAAATTCTTAATTAGCACAATTCACCTTGAGAAGTGCAACTAATGATTCCCCACTACAGCAAATCACAAATTAAAAGGTGGATTGCACCAATCGGGGGTTCTCTAAATTAAGGCCAAATATGGTAAGCTGGCCATAGATGGGATCAAAATTCAGCTGGTTCAGCAGAGACTGGACAATTTACAATCCATCTATGGATGTTACCATTCAAGAGGCGTTGACCTAGTCGTAGATTTAATATACCTTACTAACCGATCCATGACTGCTGCCCCTCTCTGCCAATATCTTCACTGGCTTCCACTATCCCAATGTATAAAATTCAAAAATACCAACCACAACGTTCAAAGCCATCTAGAACATCACCTCCAGCTACATCACCAACCTCATCTGCAGATATTACCCAAACCGTACTCTCCTCTCAAGACCTCCTGCTCTCCAGTTCCCTTGGTACCTCCTCCCACGGTCACCTCCAGAGATCCTCCCATCCACTGGAACTCCCTACCCCAGTATGTCCGGTCAGCTCCTACCCTGGCCACCTGTAGGCGATCCATAAAAACTAGTTTATTCAGGGAAGGGTACCCCACCTCCACTGAAGAACTGTACTTGTGTCACTCCATCAGTACATCCCCTGCAGCTATTACCTTTTGTACCCCCCCCCCCCCCCCCCCTTAGATTGCAAGCTCCATGAACAGGGCCCTCCTATTCCTTCTATATTGTACTGTATTGTAATTGTACTGTCCCCTTTATATTGTAAAGCGCTGTGTAAACTGTTAGCTCTGTATAAATCCTGTATTATAATAATAATTTGTCTTGAACAGGATCGCTGGAAAATTTGTGTTGAATCAGTACATGCAGCCAGTAGGATGCAGCGCTGATCAGGGTAATTTGGCAGTGGAGGAGTCCTGCTGTCAGGACACAATAGCATGGTCGAGAGGATTCCTTTGTCCACCTCGAATGTGTGGATAAGGGAATCCATTCTTTTTTTTTTTTTTTTTTTTTTGATCAGCCATATGGCTGATCAAAATAAAATAATCCATGTATGGCTAGCTTTACCTATCTATGTATGGCTAGCTTTACCTATCTGACTCCTGGAGGGGAGGGTCAACACTGAGCCAATTAGGGCTCTAAGGCATCGTACAATGCTGTACGGCTAACATTGTTAGGAAGGTCTTAGTGCAAAAAGGCCAAAGTGTGCCCCCTATCTATGTACTGTGAACTACTTCAGCTAAATAGGTTGCAGGTCCTACTCTTTTGGCTCCCCTCTCCTGCTTAAGCACCCAAGGTGGCCAGCTCTTCTGCCTACTAGTTGGCTAAGCCCTGATTGTGAACAGTCCTTGGGAGGACAGCAGAACAATAACCCAGAGCACTGCTGTTCCTTCACTATCCAATCAGAAGGCTAGAGGCGAGGCTGTGACCAAGCTATATTGTTTAACTGCAAAGGAGAAAAGTGAAGTCAACAATTTACACGGTTTGGCAGGGGCTGTCTATATCACAAGTTTGACTGTATCTCAGCTGTGTATTTAATTGGTTTGGCCAGAGATTGGCTTAAGCCTTCACTAGAAATGTGATGCAGGGAGGCTACCCTCTTACTCTGGGCAACAATGAACATTTTTTCTTCCAACTAAGAGGCCCATTAAAGAGAAGCGTCACATCCTCCAAAGCCACTCTGCTGTTCAAAATGAGAAGATACCCATACAAATGAAGAATTCAAGATGGTTTGTTGTCTGCAAGTTTTCAGGATGCAATGTGCCACATGCTGAAAACTAACCAATATCTGCTTTTATGGGTGCCAAGGAGCATGGTTCCCCTATAGACCTCCCTAGATTTGTCAGAAACCCCATAGATAATGCACCCCTCAGTTCCATTGTCACTTTTTTTTTTGCTACAGCATTCTATCTGGAGAGACAATCGTATCTTCTTACCAGAGGAGCAAGATGGTACGCGGACACTGGGAGATGATGGGACTTGCACAGAAGCATAGCAAAGACTCCTCTGTGAACCCCGCTCAGATTCCACCATTCCTTGCAGTCCATGGGTTTGGTCCTTCTGACCTGAAGCTCGCTGATACCAGCCCCTCAAATGCTCAGCCACAATAGCCTTATGAATGTTCTTGGTGATCTGCTCAGTGGTCTTTGCTGCAGGCTTCTTCCTGGGGAGCCTCAGTGTTGCATATGGGTGTTGAGCCACAAATTGGTCCCCATCATACCTTGCGTCCCTGTAGTGATCATACCCGTAATGTGCAGAAGATCGATAAGAAGGATTAACACTATACTGTCCCTCTGTATCATTTTCATACAAGTATCCCCCATTGTAATAGGGATCACTATCCAGGTATGCGCAATACCCTGTAATATAGTAGCTAGATGATGGCTGGTTCTGGGCTATTTGGTAAACACTGTTGCGAGTGTCCTTGTGTGCCAGATTCGGCATGCTACCCGTGTTGGCCGCTGAGAAGTTCTGTTTTTTGTGCCGTCTCCTATCCCGGGAGCGGTTATCCAGGGTCTGAGCCGTGTAGCAGTGGTTTTGTTTTGGTGGAGTGCTGTAATACTCCGAGCTAGACTGACTGGTGTAAGAGGAACCATCATCTAGGATCTCCGTACTGTTGCTTCGCTGGCTCTTGGAAAGCAAAAATGTGGCGCTTCCATCAATAGAATCAACAAGGGGCGTATGTGACTCCAGACTGCCGCGGCGCTGCCTGCTTTCGTAGCTTAAACCTTCATTTCTAAAGAAAGCAGAAAAAAAAAAAAATCAGGTGAAACACAGTTGACTAATCTCACTTTTCCTGCACAATGAACAGCAGGTGGTTAGCACTGAACCATTTTCTGTTTTATTTACTCTAAACCAACAATTCTCAAATCAGGATTCCAAGAACAGCAACCAAACTTGTGAACTCCAAGCTCTACACCTTAAATTAACCACAAAATGGTTACAAATCTGGAGCCCATAGTAGAAACTTCAAGACACATATTTATAAAAAAAAAGAAAAAAAAATGTATCTGACTTTTATTATGCAGCTAACGGTTTACAAACATATTTTATAACAAAGAAAAAGAAAATTGTAAAGACAAAAAAAAAAAAAAAAAAAACACAAATGGTATATCCATTAAAAACCCAAATAACTTAGTTTACTACAGTAAATATACTTACTACATCCTTGCTATTCACACTTTATATGTTTGCTACAAGCTTTTTGGGATTTTGATTTATATTCTAGGATGTACCTATAAATTTTTTGAAGATCATTTTGGGAGTTATTTGGGTTTTAATAGGTATACCATGGCTTTTAATCTTACAAATTAAAATGTTTGTAATAAAACATGTTTGTTAAACATTAACTGCATAAGAGTCAGATACATTTTTTTCTACTTTCTTTTATAAATAATTATTTGAACTTCCGGGGAAGCCCTATGAAACTAGATATTTTTACAGTAGTTGTGTCAATCAGGATTCTGTGAAACCCTAGGGTTCCTCCAGATGTTGCCAAGTGTTCCTTGAGCTGTGGCTGTTTGGCCTCCAACTAATGGTACTTGGCTCTGAGTCCATTGCCACTTGGCGAAGCCAATGGCATGACCCCAATCATCTTTTTTAGCTGTCTGTAAGGGTGGCATTCTGATCACCATTGTAAGGGAGGCATGCTTCCTTCTGACTACTAATGTAAATTGCATTTTTGGCATTGACCCCTGATGTATTGGTTTTAGTAAGGGTTCCATGAAAATTTTTTAAGTCACAAACAGAAAAAGCATGCAGCGCTAGAATATTGAGATTACCTCGTAATGCAATATGACAAACTCAATGGAGATAAACGCAGCTAGCATATAAGTACTAGTATTTACAACCCATACTGAAACACACTCTTAATCAAACTAAGGTGTACATGGTGACATGGGTGTCAAAGTCAATACATCAATGGAGTAACATAAGGAAATCTGTGACTTTTGTGGTAGGTAGTGTGGCTGTGGAATGCACTAACCAGATAGCGCATTTGATAGCGCATTGGAGTAAAATGACCTACTCCTGGTCACTGGATAGGGAACTCTGCCGGAGTGTTGGTAGTCTCTGCCACAGTCACCAGAAACATCTGTATCGATAAACGTTCATCCGATATGTTGTGGAATCCTTTCTGACAGCAACCTCCAGGGGGTGCAGTGCACACTCATAAGACAGGAGTCACCTTGAAGGCTCGGAAATAAACCCAAAAAGAGAGGCCTCCGATAGTGTAGTAACTTTTATTAAGGGGTGTAAAAACAAATGAAGCACTTACATGATATATTCACAATTCCAGGTAGGTACAAGAATGGCCGCCCGTATCAAGGTGTGGACCATGTGGACAGTGGTGATAAGTCAAATAGCATCTCTCTAACGCGTTTCGTGGCAATGGCACGTTGTCAAATGGCACGTTGTCCCCTTTGACAACGTGCCATTGCCATGAAAACGCGTTAGGGAGATGCTATTTGACTTATCACCACTGTCCACATGGTCCACACCTTGATACGGGTGGCCATTCTTGTACCTACCTGGAATTGTGAATATATCATGTAAGTGCTTCATTTGTTTTTACACCCCTTAATAAAAGTTACTACACTATCGGAGGCCTCTCTTTTTGGGTTTATTTCCGAGCCTTCAAGGTGACTCCTGTCTTATGAGTGTGCACTGCACCCCCTGGAGGTTGCTGTCAGAAAGGATTCCACAACATATCGGATGAACGTTTATCGATACAGATGTTTCTGGTGACTGTGGCAGAGACTACCAACACTCCGGCAGAGTTCCCTATCCAGTGACCAGGAGTAGGTCATTTTACTCCAATGCGCTATCAAATGCGCTATCTGGTTAGTGCATTCCACAGCCACACTACCTACCACAAAAGTCACAGATTTCCTTATGTTACTCCATTGATGTATTGACTTTGACACCCATGTCACCATGTACACCTTAGTTTGATTAAGAGTGTGTTTCAGTATGGGTTGTAAATACTAGTACTTATATGCTAGCTGCGTTTATCTCCATTGAGTTTGTCATATTGCATTACGAGGTAATCTCAATATTCTAGCGCTGCATGCTTTTTCTCTTTGTGACTGTTATCTTATGAGGCGTTTTGAGGTTTGCCTTTCATGCGAGCTGCTTTATATTCTGTTCTAATATCATCCAGCGCTCGTTTTACCCCCTTTTGTTTATTTATTTAAAAATTTGTAAGTGTTCGTCTGATAAAAGGTTGAGAAAGGCTGATATAAACAAGTTTTAAAAAACCTACTCAGCGCTAAATGCATCTGATGTGATTTCAGAGGGATAACCCTTTTGGGGGCAATTATAGAACAGTTTGCAGCTTTTTAAAAAAGTTACATATGTGTTTGTCGCCACTCCTTCTCACTATGTAACTAGTCTGAAGAAAAAAAAACAACTCAGTTCCCATGGGTCTCAATGACGCTATGGTAGGGGGCTGGCAGAGACACAGCATTGCTTCCAGTGACCATAAAATTGAATAGCCATCTGCAAATTATTCAGGTTTAGACACTCATTCTGCTTGTAAGTACAAGTCTTCATCTTAAAATCTAGCTCTGTGGAGCAACTTCTGCCCCATAGCTCCTCTCCTCTCATTTATAGGCTAGGCCTTCAATGGGCAGTAAAGGTTTTGGTGGCATTTGAGATGGAAGGAATTAGGGGAAACTCTTGAATTAGGCAGACGCTGCGGCCCCTTGTAAAGCCTGGGCTCTACAAGGACACAGGAATCAATTTGGAGATGAATATAGGTACAAATAGATACCAAAAGGTGAAGTGCATCATTTAAAACATTTTAGGCCAGGTTTATTTCAACTTTTTTACAAACCTACCTCATCCAAATGGGTTCCGAATCATTCTATCAGAAATAATAGCTTTGAATATCGATTCTGTAGACTGTTGGCCAAAGCCAAGTACCAGACGTCAGCACTTTCTGAATTATGTATGTTCCTGTTATACAGGGCCAATAAAGGCCTACAGCTGGAGTGGATTGTCCGGGACAAGCTGCACTAACATTCCTGCCCTGCAGTGCTGGAGAGAAACACATCCTGAACTTACTGGAGGTGGTTGCTGCTGTAGGCGTTTCGTGTCAGCACAGGCGTTGAAGGTACGCTCCTTCCCCCATGAGGCTTCCGCTCAGCCGTCTTGTAAGGGCTGCTGTGCGTTGATGTTGGCTCTCTGTGACTATATATGGGAACAAAAAAAAACACATTAAGTGGTGCAAAAATATTACACTGCACTCACAGAATCTTAACGTGAACGTAATATACATTGTTGTACATTCTACAGGGACTGGAACAGGTATTAGAAAACAAGCTGTGTATATGAAATGTGTTTTATATCATTAGGCACTGCTGTGCCCTGGAGGTGAAGACTGGTTCTGCTATCCAACGGTGACTGGCACGGTTTTTCATACAAGTGGACCACAATGCGAATAGTGATGGGCTGTATGTTCGAATCGAACGTCAGTTTGACTTGAACATCGGCCATTCGTGTTTACACTGCATTGTGATTGGCCAAAGCAATGCAAAGCTGTGGCCAATCACCATGCATGTGACATCATTACAGTATTTAAGAACTGTCATCCTTGCTCAACTGTCAGACGGCGGGAGCCAGTGTTTTTTTTTCAGGTCAGCGGTGGCAGTGGAGATTGTGATTGACTTTGGATCTACTTCGGGGGACATTTTTAAAATTTTTGTTTTTAATAAAAGGACTTGTCAAAGACTGTCTACTGTTTTTTACACTACACTTTTTTTTTTTGTGAATGAGAAAAAGGTACCATGTACCCCATGCTCAGTCACATACGGGGGTGCCCAGATCTGGGGGCTCCCCTTGTTAAAGAGGGTGGGCAGATCTGGGGTCTCCCCTTGTCAAAGGGGGCTTTCAGATTCTGATAAGCCTACTGCCCGTAGACCCCCCACAACCACTGGCCACGGAGGAGACCCTTGTCCCCATCAACATGAGGACAAGGTGCTTTGGGGTAGGGGGGAGCTTGGGGTTGGCATGGGGGTTGGGTTTCCCCCCCCTTCATGTTAAGGGCATGTGGCCTGGTATGGTTTGGGGAGGGGGGGCCCTTGCTCCTCCCCGCTCTCCTGACCTGCCAGGCTCGTTGCTCAAATAAGGGTCTGGTATGGATTTTGGGGGGGACCCCAACACCTATTTGTTTTGTTTTTTTATTTTGACATTGGGGTTCCCCGCAAAATTCATACCAGACCCAAAGGGGCTTGGTATGGATGGGGGGGACCCCACACGGCTTTTTTTTTTTTTTTTAAGTTGCCAGGCAATGCCGGCAATTCTTTTTACATTCAGCTGTCAGCAGGGAAACCAGCTGACAGCTGAAACAATAAAGAATGTTTTTAGTAGCTGTGCAGTATCTTAGTGCATACTCAGATGTAGTAAGATATCGCTTAGAGAACTGTCTCCTCTGTTCGAATTTCGCAGTCAAACTTTTGTTATGTTCGACCACGAACTGAACAGCGGAGTGTTCGAGCCATCACTAAATGCAAATGATAAACCATTCAAGTCCCTGAAAGGACTACAGACTACTTATATGTTCCAGTGCCATATGTCGCAATGTTTAAAAAAAAAAAAAAAAAAGACTGCAGAATATGTAGTCTGCTATTGCTAAACTCTCCATTTGTTAATGCCAGTGACCTGGAACAAGCATGCATGTGAGGAAAGTCTGACTTCGCTTTGACATTCTAATCTGCATGAAATTCTGCATCTGCAGAAATATCTATTTCTGAGCTAATAAAAGTATTGAAGCCATAGAAAGCCAGCAACTAGCATTTTCTGGCCACAACTGCAACCTAAGAATTACAGAGAAGGATCTTTCTGGTCTCTCTGCAGAGGTCTGTCATACCCCTAGCTGAGTCAAGACTTATGGTTCTGCAAACAGTGAATTTAATTAACTGTAAATTAATTAAACTGTAAGTAAATATAATTAAGTGTAAGACTTTCCACACCTTGTTTTGATGCAGCTGGAACATATTTAGTGAATTTAAAATGAATTAACTATAACAACATAATGCCTCCGTGTGCACATCAATCTCCAACAGGCCTGATTTCAACTTTCAGCTGGCGTTTCAGATTTCGGGCAACTGCACTTTTATGAATGGGATTTAAAATAAGTTTCTGGCTTTTGACAGAATACGTAACTCAAGTGATGTATTTGCTTGGCATTCAATATGGCCTCAGGGGAAATGCAAATAAGCAATATAAAGGTCTGAGTACAGAATGGTAAGTGATTTATGGAAAGATTGATGAAAAAAGCTTGTTTCCTTTTCATCATAATGATCTTTATCTATCTTCAGAGTACCACCGATATAAACTACAGGGTATAATTTATGACATAGAGGAATACTGCACACTATGCACACTTATAGCATGCATCATATTATGTCTACACTGCTGTTCCTTTCATTACACATGTATCTGAATTGATTAACCTTCCCATATTTTATTGCTATCACAGGACAAAGCTCCCTTGGTTGCGGGGTTCTCTTTCCTCTTCAAGCTCTGATTACTGTTATGCCTAAAACAAAGGCTGAACTGGCTGTTACAGAACTAGTCCCCCCATCAGACACAGACAAGTGTCTATCTAGGACATACCAGCCAGATGCAGGTAAGTGCAGACTTGATCTGCTCTCTTTCTGAACCAATACAGCTGTTGAAAAAAAACCAAAACAATTTCCCTTTAGTTGTGAGAAAAAAGTTTATTGGAGCAACAAAAATGCTGTTTGCTCCTTTGCAGGTATGATACCGAAAGACAACTCAAGCCAAAAGAACTGATTTTAACACTCTTAGTGGGCTGGTTTTATCTACAAAAAAAATGCAAAGTGCAGCCTACCCAGAATTGAGGTTTCAGGTATGGGTGGATGCTGGTGAATCCCTCACTAGCTTCTTATGTGTCTCAGGCCTTGTTCACGCAGGCTTTAGCTTGAATAAGAGCAGTAGGTACAGCAAGCTTTTGCAAAGCTCTTGGTAAACTCAAGAAGCTTTGGTGATGTCTGTAAAGCATCAATTTCAGTTTGTGGAGATCCTAATAGGGGTCCTGACTGTCCCTTAAAATAAAACAGGCTTCAGTAAGCTTCAGCACTAATTTTTTCAAAGCCTGTTCTATCCTGGAGCACATTCATTCTAAACCAGGGTTCCTCCAGGAGGTTGTTATGGGTTCCATGAGCTGTGACTGAATGACCTCCAACCTGCAAAGTCCAAGGTCCAACACCACTCGGCTGAACCAACAGCAGGACACCATTTATTTCTTCAGCGGTTTGTAATAGTGGCATTCTGACCACAACTGAGGCAGTGGCATTCTGACCACAACTGAGGCAGTGGCATTCTGACCACAACTGAGGCAGTGGCATTCTGACCACAACTGAGGCAGTGGCATTCTGACCACAACTGAGGCAGTGGCATTCTGACCACAACTGAGGCAGTGGCATTCTGACCACAACTGAGGCAGTGGCATTCTGACCACAACTGAGGCAGTGGCATTCTGACCACAACTGAGGCAGTGGCATTCTGACCACAACTGTGGCATTCTGACCACAACTGAGGCAGTGGCATTCTGACCACAACTGAGGCAGTGGCATTCTGACCACAACTGTAGGGTGGCATTCTTCCCAACTGGCCTGACCACATGTGGCATTCTGACCACAACTGGGGCATTCTTCCCACTGGCCACCATGTAAGGGGCATTCTTCCAACCAATGTAAGGGGCATTGTTCCCACTGGCCAGGGGGCATTCTTCCCACCAATGTAAGGGGCATTCTTCCCACCAATGTAAGGGGCATTCTTCCCACCAATGTAAGGGGCATTCTTCCCACCAATGCATTCTTCCCACCAATGTAAGGAGCATTCTTCCCACCAATGTAAGGAGCATTCTTCCCACCAATGTAAGGAGCATTCTTCCCACCAATGTAAGCAGCATTCTTCCCACCAATGTAAGCAGCATTCTTCCCACCAATGTAAGCAGCATTCTTCCCACTGGACACCAATGTAAGGAGCATTCTTCCCACTAGCCACCAATGTAAGGGCATTCTTCCCACTGGCCACCAATGTAAGGGACATTCTTCCCCTTGACTCCCAAATAATTTTATCCAGTATTCCATGAACATAAGTTTGCTTTAAAAGCTGCCAGAAACTTGGAAAAACAAAACAAATGCTGCTCTTTTACAAACTGAAACACATATGAGCAAGATCTTATGACAGTCTATCTTAACAAGGGTTCCTCCTGTGGTTGTTAGGAGTTTCTTGAGCAAATTGAGCTCCTACCTTCAAGGGCTTCGATGTTAGGGGATATCACAATTTTTACTGTGTTTTATTTTCTGTTATTATTATTGATGCAAATTTTAGGATTATTACTAAAAATGTTGTACAAAGCAGGATGGTTTAAAAAAAAAAAAAAACATCTGCCCTGGGTATCACTAATGCTAGGTAAGCCATATTTACTAAGTTTTATATATGAAATGTCCTACAATTTAGTGATCACTTTAATGTACCACCAACTATAGGTATAATTATTTTTAACAGGGATTCCTTGAGATCTCGAAAAATATTTTAAGGGTTCCTCTGGGTGTAAATAGGTTGAGCGAAAGCTGCCTTATGGTCCTCAGTAAAAAGATCTCAACTCCACCAACCTGCCTTGGCCATCAGAAGAGAAATGACTTAATAAAAAGGATGACACTTTACAAACCATAAAACTGAAAACCTCTGCAGGCAACAATGCACAATAGAATAGCAGTTGTATCCCGTATCAAACTAGAATATAGGTTCTTTGCTTACCTTGACATCCTCATATCAGAAAACTGCTCGTTGAGGGAAGACTTTCTAGAGAGGCTTCTGTCTCCCTGGGATTTTGGAGGTCGGATTTTTAGGAGAATTCTGTAGGGAACAGGACCTCTGCCCTTGCAGATAAAGAGCTTCATCTGTAATTGAGAAAGGGCAATTAAGTCAGGGTTGAATGGGTTCTTTTTTTGTTTTGGTTTTTTTACATCAGGTAATTTTTATTGAAAAAGTTTTCAGTTTTACAACAGAAAAAGAAAAAAAAACAAAAAGAATGAATTCATAATAAACAAGCACACTGCTGATCCACAGAGCAAAGCCATCTGGAACGGCACTACCCAGAAGCAGCCAGCAGAGAGCACTGCAAACCGTAAATATCTATTTCTGCTAGAAAAATATTTGCATTTCACCATTCTGTACATAAAGTCAACATTACCAGAAAATGACAAAACCTTGAGTGATGTTTTTTTTCTATGCTGCCCAACAGTGTAAGTAGTCAGGCAATACTTACCATCATCAAATGTGGTTGTATCAGATAAGGAACTGCTTTCTGACGGGATGATGTCATCTAGAAAGTTTGGGTAAAAAAAGTTTAGTGAGTGGGGCAAGAAGACAAAATGGTCAGCGGATACATTCATAATAGCTATACAGTATATTAGTACTTCAATAAAAGATATACAGTATATTAATACTTCAATAAAAAGGTATACAGTATACTGCTACACCAATAGAAGAAGTCATGTTCTAGCCCCGACATTGGGATGGCGCCATACCTTGTATAAGCAGAGAGGCCCTCTTTGTTGGATCCTTCCCGCTCTTCACTCTGTACTCATTGATTGCACTTTCTATGTCCTGTAACCTTTTAATGGAGTCGCTGTAGTCCTGCTTCCTTTTCCTTTTGACATTCTTGCTCAGGTCGGGCTCCATCAGAAGTTTCTTTGTAGCTTCTACCATTTGCTGCTGGATGAGAAATTTGTGCTCCAGATTTTTTATATCGGATTCCTGAGCAAAGAAAAAAAAAAAAAATCAAGACCTGGATGAAACAGACAGAAGAAGGAAATACTGCAATGTGTTTCACAGCAGGATGGAGAAGTGAACACACGGGAAATGTCAGTGTGTCACTTCCTGCCTGCAATAGACATCACGATGCAGACTAGCCAGGTTTATTATCTTTACTTCCATCAGGAAGACATTTTATAGTTTTAAAGCTGAATGCCAGACAAACCACTAAATGCGCAGGGAGTCGTTTATCCTGCCAAAAAGATTTGTGTTCCTGTCCATCCAGTCCTGAGATTTACACAACTCTGCCAACCAGCACAGCCTGGTCTGCAGGGAAGGTGGCCAGTTTTTTGCTTTTTTGTTTTGTTTTGTTTGTTTTTTGCTGTAGGTCAGTAACTCCTACTGGTCTCCTCCCCACCCCAGTCTGGGAATGGACATGAAAAGGAAAAGCAGCCAACTGATGAGCTGATCTCTCAATCACTCTGCTCTCTCTCCTATCAGCATGCTTTTTGCACTGCAGCACAACTGACTCTTTTTTGCCCCATCTGAGCTCTGCTACACAAAGGCTGCAAGACTCCAATACCAAGTCAAATTCAGATACTTACACTACTTGCATGAAAAGAAAAAAAAAAACAAATTGAAGGATGTATTCATGAATACAGAGCTGCATTAATGTCTTTTATACCTGGCCTGAAGTTCATCTTTAAAGCTCAATTTGCATTTATTACATCTTTTTCTGTTTCATTTGGCATTTGTAACCTAATGACTTGGCTGTCAGACAGATATTTCCTGACGCTATGCGGTCTTCTCTACGCATTCTCCAACTGCTGCCAATATTCAGTTGATCGGAGCCTCGTGCAGAATTAGAGCACCAGCGTGTTATATTCAGTAGGTATACAAAGCAACAGCCTTAGTTTTTTCTAAATACGGAAAGAGAGAAACACTGTGTTTGCATATGTCTACCTCTTCGCTCAGAAGAATGTTGTCATCCAGTTTAAATGTGGCGCCCATTCTCCTCCGGACATTTGGTGGCTGTTCACCGGGATTCAGTGGATATTCTGATGGTAGTTTCCCAGTCAGCTCCTGAAAGAACAAATACAATTTTACTTTTTACAATAATACTTATAAAAAAACTTTGCAACTTTTTTTTTTCCTTATATTATTATTATTATACAGTATATATAAAGCGCCAATAGTTTGCTCAGCGCTGTACATTACAAAGGGGGACAGAACATGTGACAGAACAATACCAATACAATGCAAAACATGAGGGGATCGAGAGTGCCCATGGGCTTGATCTCTCCAGAATGCCTGCGTATTGATATGCTTTTTAAATGCAGCGCATTGCATTTCTCAAATTGTAGGTTTACATTGACTTGCACAGAAAACTAAAAGGTGAGTGAACCCCAAGTGCAGCATGCATTTATTAACCTCTTCGCACCGGTGCCTCCCGACCCTTTAAGAGTTTCAGAAGCGGGGAGGGTCATGTGACTGCCGTGATTCTCTGTCACGGCGGTCACATGATCGGAAAAGGTCCCGATCGAAAGGGGAGATCGGGACCTTTCCGTGAGTCACGGACATATGTGCTGGGGGCGCACACTCTCAGCACATATGTATTTTCTAATTGCACGCAAATATGCGGTCGCTCTGCGTCAAGGCCCAGATGCCAAAAGGCCGCATGTTTGCATGCGCTCGGTATCAAGGGGTTAAAATATATACACACACACACATACATATAAACACACACCAGCCGACTACTTTTGATTTGTACAGACGGCTGTACAATGCACCAAAACGTCAGGAATTCTGTTGTATTTTAATAAAGCAGAGACACACACACTGTAAATGGATAAATACTGCCATCCCTGGTGCACTGCTCTACCCAGTTTAGTGTTGGTGCAAACACAGTGCCTACGCAAGATGGATGCCAATGCTCTCACCATCAAAGTGGTTGTAAACCCTTACATATACCCAGTGAAGTGACTGGCCTCAAATCCTCCTACACAAGATGTGCCTGTTTATCTGAAGGCTTCTCTTCTCTACATCCATTCAAAGTCCAGAATCTATACAGCTTGACTGAGATATCAGAAAACAGGGGCGGAGAGCTTGTTACACTATGCAAAGCTCAGCCAGGACAGCTCTGAGAGCTGATTGAAGGGAAGGGACACACCCCCTTCACAAAGACCACAGGAACAGAGCTGAAGCTGTCAATCCTAGGCTGTGTGTTAGAGCTCCCTCCCCTGTCATCTTTTTACCTCTTGGTGTCAGGAAATCTTGTCAAAAGTGACTCATGTAGATAGGAGAGGAAGGAGGCAGCAGACATAAATGACACTCAGTGCTCTGGATTGAGACAAGTGCACACTATAGAGGGATATGCGTTATTTAGATTTCATGTCTGAGGTTTAAAACCACCTTAAAGACTAAGGTTACCTTTTGAAAAAAATAAATAAATAAATGCACTTTCCCAGGAAAAAAAAAAAAAAAAAAAACACGTGCATTTTTTTTTCTCTAAGGAGTCTGCTAGGCATTGCACACACGATCAGCAGATTCACAGGCTCCTGCAGACTCTCAGAATAGCTGTGTGCCTGAACCTCATATGGGCAGACAGTTACTTGAGAGCAGGAAGATCGATGAACTACCAGCACCTTCGCAGTTCATTGAGAACTACAATCCGTCAGCTGACAGTACTTGTTGTCTATCCATCCACAGGAAACCAAATGAATGACACGGCTGCTCTGTTTTCAGATTGTGACAACGGGGGCAGGGAGAAGATCTCACACCCACTGTCACAGGGACACGGGGGGGGGGGGGGAATCAGGGGAAGAGGGTTCAGATGCAGGAATATGTTAAATGTTTCACCCTATACATGAGTGAACCATGTAATATATTCCAAAGCCGAACATATCCTTTAAAGTGGTTCAGATAAACTTCTACACCTTACTTACCGCCTCCCGCATACATATTTTCTTCAGCTCTTCAATTTTTTTCAGCAGCACTTCCTGCAAATCTCTCTCTTTCTTCTTTAACTCTTGGATTTTCTCCACTTTTTGCTCCTCGCTGACTTCTGAGTCTATGGAACCTGGAACATAAAACAACTGGTTAATCCTCAAAGCATGAGTCACATGACTCCATCACACAATGGCAGCTTGCACTGGTGTAACCATAAGGTACATCAAACAATGGCTGTCCGCACCACATATTCAGGCTGCTGCAATGTTATAGTTACATGGTAAAAGTCAATTTGTTTTAACAATACAAAGAGTTCAGGATAGATACAGTCGGTGTGGATCACTATATAGCATCCATTCTCAACCAGGGTTCTGAGGAATCCTAGGGTACCTTCAGGGTTGGCTAGGGGTTCCTTGAGCTGTGGCTACCTGACTTGTCATCTGATGGTGCCTGCATAGTTCCCGGTCCAACACCACTTGGCAGAGAATACAACATGACTGTAAGGATGTTATTCTGGCCACCCTTGTAAGGACGACATTCTTCCCACTTACTACCATCAATGTAAGGGGCATTTTTCCGATGACCCCCAATAGACTAATCTTAGCAGGAGTTCCCTGACATCGGAAAATTATTTCAAGGGTTCCTCTGGGGTAAAAAGGTTGAAAAAGGCTGCTCTATTGTATGTATTCAGGTATAATGCAGGACATTTTGAATAGTAAATATTTCATATGCAGTAATGGTAAGGTGGGTCATTTGGTAATATTCTACAATGTACCTGAAATCTAAGGCTGGCCATACACTATACAATTGTTCTTTTAGATTTACCAAAACCATATAATATGTGGTGAAACCTAAACACTTTCAGTTTGTATGCAACCTCTTAGATTGTAAGCTCCATCAGGAACCCTGTATTGTATTGTCTCCCGTTAAATTGCGCTGAGCAAACGGTTGGTGCTATATAAATGCTGTATAATAATCAGGCAGACCACTGCACTACAGAGTTAAAAGGTAAATCTAAAGGAAACTGAACAAGAAAATTGTATAAATGGATGGTCAGCCTACGGAAGGTGTATCAGGTTCTGTACTGAGAAGCAAAAGCTGGCCATACACTTATACAGTAGATCTTTTAAGAAAGCTTAATGGATTCCTCCATCTGCGCTGAACAGCATAGATGGACCAATCTCTCCTGTCAGCTGTTGTATTTTGACAGCCAGCTCCTGCAGCTGTCAGAATACCTGAACGGTGCTTACATCTGATTGGATGCAGGGACTGTTCGGCTACCATTTTTCTTTGACAAAAGTCAGTTGACTTTTGTCGAGCCAGGTGGTGCCAACCAGGCTCAGATTTCTGCCAATTCAGCATGAACTGGCAAAAATACAAGCTGTGTATGGCAGCCTCTAGGAAAGCAACCAAAAGTGATCCTTGAGAAGGTACATGTGTGGGGTTGGGGGGTGTCAATAGATAAGCCAGAAAGAGGGGGAGGCAAGCAAGGGGAGGTTGGGGAGAGATAGGTAGTGCCTAGGTGGGGGAGCAGGTGGTGAATTCGGCATCCCACTCAATGAAGTTTATATTGAAGAAGCTAAGAGATCTCAAATCCATGCAGTGCCCAATGAGATAACCCAGACAGAAGTGTGCGATTATTACCTGAAGAGATTAAGCTACCACTGCTGGCCATGATCACTGGATTTTTCCCGTCCACCATTTTGGAAATTCGGCTTGTGCTGTTTTCCGTCAGGTCCATAGCAAGTTCGTCCAGACTGCGTGCGCTTGGAATTTTTGCCTGCGGAAGATAAATAATAACTAAAAATGAGATCAAAACACAGCAATATAATAAGAACGTAGAACCAATACTGTCCTCTGCCGCACATCAACAAATACATCAGGGTCGGCCCTGCAGTGCTGAAAGGAACCAGCCAATTAGGCTCCACAAGTGTCAGTGATTGCCTTACAATACACAGCAAAATGCAATTTAAATGATAAATGACTAAACCAATTAGCATCATCTTTCCTGTAAGCTCACTTTCTCCAAGCTCCAAACAAAACAAAATTAATGGCTCTCATTGACAGATAAGGCAATTATTTAAATGGGCGAGATAACTTCACATTAAAAACTCCTAATGACAACGAAATTTAAATTGCAAATAGCCAGGCCAATTAGCATCACGTCTTTCTGCTTTACCTATAGAAAAAAAAAAAAAAGTACAGAATTGGCTGCTCTGTGAACCCCAACTGGAACCAGGTCATTATTATTATACAGTATTTATATAGCACCAAAGGGTATGCTCAGCGCTGTACAGTAGCAAGTGGGACAGAACATGAGACAAGACAGTAACAATACAATACACGAGGGGTTCGAGGGCCCTGTTCCTTGGAGCTTACAATCTAGGAGGGAGGGGAAGGTGGTACAGGAGGAGATGGCTGTGGGGGATGGAGTGGTAGGAGGAGTGGAGGAGGTTAGTTGTTAGGTGAGGTCGAGGTAGGCTTCCCTGAAGAGGAGGGTTTTTAGGGTGCACCTGAAGGTGAGGAGGGTAGGTGACAGTCTGATGGATTAGGGTAGGGAGTTCCAGAGGATGGGGGAAGTCCTGGAGAAGTCCTGCAATCGGGCACAGGAGGAGGAGACCAGGGAGCTAGAGAGTAGGAGGTCATGATTTAAACTGTATCTGAACTCAAGAACAAACATGGAAAATATTGCAGCTTACATGCCCTTAGGTTGCATTAGTTTTCTTTTTAAGGTATTTCTCCTTTATTTTCACCTGGTGATCTAGCCAATAACATACTTCCTGTCCACCATACTGTATTTATGGAGGAGCAGCATGGTCACCCCAGGCTTCTCTGATTTGGACTACAAACACCTCCCGCTCCCCTCATCTTTATTGCAAGGTTGGAGGGGTTATGATGTTCAGATAAAATAGCTGAGAAAGTGGATAGCATTGTTTGAGATCATTCAGTGTACAGAAAGTTATACACTAGAAGGACACGGGAATCCAAGCAGGATAAACAGGTATGCTGTGTACTAGATTTGGCGCCTTCTTTAGTTTTAATTTTTTTTGGGGGGTAAAGACATTTTCAGCAAGTACAGAAAACATCCATTGATTCTGCCAAAAATGTCTGCGAGCTGAACTGAAAGAACGAACAAAGTTATCTTTCTTTTATAAACTAATCACCCTCCACCTCTTCTATAATGGAGACAAAAGAGAGGAAGCCTTGTTTGTAATCAAACCTGGGTGACAATGACGACTACCCCACCATAGACAGTGGAAGAGTGAGCGTAGCCAGACTAGAACAGGAATAATTGTTCAGAATAATAGTAATATAATTATTAATACCATTATTAAAGGATTTCTTTGTTTTCTCCTCCTGTCATCACATGTGCATGCACTTGATTGGCCCCCAGGGTTGCCCCTTCCGCTTCCAATCTGAACTGTACACACCTTATTGACCTCAGCAACAATGGTTAAAAAAAAAGAAGTTGGATCATATTGACTCACTTTGCTCTGCTTTCTGTCCAGGTAGAATTGATGTTGACTAATTGCCATCACCCATATGGACTTGATCAGAGAATTGCTGGCATACCAGGTCTGAACTACAAAACTGCTCTGTCCAAAGGTTCTCCTTGACACAGTTATTCTGAAAATTTGAAGAAAAAAAAAACTCAGACTGATAAATGGTACAGATAAGCGTGACACCCTAATGCATGGCCTACTATTCAGATTGACAGACGGTAACTATAACAATATGTGAAATTTACAAGCGTTCCCTCAACATATTAAACGTAGGAATGGGACCTGTCTTTTCTGACATTTTTTGTTCTTTAAAAGATTGTGAACAGCAATTTTAGGGCTTGTACAGTTGGGCATATTGAGGCATATAAACGTGTCATTAAACCCATCTCATTAAAAACTATTAATAAATGCTGTAGTACATGCTGTTCATACTCGCTGTTTTCAGTATTCTGCAAAAAAAAAAAAAAAAAAACAACTTCATTCATCCTGCTGTTCTCTCTCCCCCCTCCTATCCATGTCCCAACTGCAGTTGGGGATTTTGCAGAGCAGTGTTGGCAGCTAGTGCACATGCTCAGTTTTCAGTGTATTTCCACCCTGAGCATTTCCTCCCTATCACATCTGAGCAGCCCATGTGACTATAGGTACTTCTACACTCTGGGAAAGGACATCCCTCCCTCTTCCATGCCCACTAACCAGCAACACAATGGGGATGGGATACTACATCTTGATTGATGGAGGCTTCACCTCCCTCGTATTCTAAGACATAGGCTGGATGGGTGTGACACAGCCTTTGACTGGCAGAAATCTGCCTACACCATGTTTTTGCCAAAATAAATAATACAGATTTGATTTCAAATATATATTTGTATGACAATTTAAAACAGTTTATTGATATTTTTTATTTTATTTTGAACATGCGACCAGTAACAGAGGACTAGAAGGTCCTTCTGCCACTATTTCCCTGCAGACAGGATAAGAAAGATCTGAGCCATGTGACAGCTGTATATTGATTAGAAAAAAAAGGTACTTAGATGTTTTTGTTTATTAAAATAATTACAGTGCCATCATCCACATACAGAAAGAGAAGTAAATTAAACAGTGTTTGTTTAGTATCGCTTTAAATGCAGTCAATTTTCAGCATCCAGGAACCGCAGGTGTTGCAAACAACTGCCTGTACAAATGAATTACAGGATATGGCTGTATGAAGGTATACAGACAGCTGTGAGCGTAAACATGCGTACGCCCCTGGATGTATACTTCTGCAAATCGAAACAAAAACGAGAAGCGCACCAACCTTGCGCATTACCTCAGTAACCAAAGTTTATTAATTATAAAATAATACTCACAAACAGCGAATAAAATCAGGCATGTAAGTCCTCAGAGGGACCTGAAAGATAAAGAGTCAGCGCAGATCCCATCATGGGGGTGAATACTCAGTACAGCTGACGCGTTTTAAACGGCATCCCTTCTTCATCAGAGCTCTGGTTGGTGCGCTTCTTGTTTTTGTTTCGATTTGCAGTATTGGTCGGGCTTCCCCAGCCTTATTTGGAGCTGCACAACTCTACATGCATTGGTGGTCGATCTTTCCAGGTCTGTTTCCATCTATTCGCCACCCGCCTGGGTCCTTGAGCGCAGGAGATTTCGCTTATGATCTATTGTATACTTCTGCAACCAGAGGTGTATTTCCAAGCACAAAAATGCATAAGCATTTCTGCATCTAGGGACATATGCAAGTTGACACTCAAAGCTGTATATACCCACATGCAGCCGTATTCTGGAATTCATTTGTACAGGTGGATGTATTCAACACGTGTGGCTCCCAGGCGTTGAATTACAGGATATGTTTGCAGGGCTGTGGAGTCGAAGTCGTGGAGTCGGAGGAAATTTTGGGTACCTGGAGTCGGAGTCGGCAAACAATGCTCCGACTCCGATTAAATTTAGATTGGAATTAAAAAAAAAAAGCAAGTTTAAATGTCCCAATTCACAAAAAGTTATAATTAATGACTTCTCTACTGTAAGAATAAAGACCAATGCATGCAGTGCCTCACGTAACCGCAAAACGAACACGTTAAGTGACCGTGAAGAAGCATGCTTTTCATGTGCTTCACTATATGGCACGCAACGCACAATTAGGAGCGGCAATACTTATACTTTGCTTAGTGTTTTACAGATTTTGTTTTTGGTTCATATAGATAAGCTTTGTTTTTGTTCTAAAACAACCAAATAATGTGGTTTGTATTTTTGGACTGGTAAAGTTCCTGTTCCTGATGTTTATGCCTGCTGCTACTATCCAGCCACTTGATTAATTACTAAAATTTTTTTTTATAAAACTTTGTTGTTTTCATTGTGTTTGTCTTTTGCTTAAACTGTTCAAGACAGTAGACTGGTGGCTTCCCAGCCAGTAGTCCTGTGGTAATGACATGTATGTTGCCTTTCTTTCCTTCAAGGAATGTATAAAATACATTCGCATATTAATACAGAGGAGTCGGAAGTACAAAAAACTGAGGAGTCGGAGTCAGAACATTTATCTACCGACTCTACAGCCCTGTATGTTTGTACATAGTTATATGCAGCATAAACCTTCATTCATACATACTCCTCTGGAGGCAGACCTCTGCACCAAGGAACGTACGATTGTACACATTTGCACTTAGTTGCATTTACCCACTGTGACAGTGTGACGATCTGTCACCCAGGATTCTCAACTAGGCAGGTTGAGGGGCTCCGGGGTAAGTGTTTGATATGGAGGAAAGTGGCTTTTCACTTTCCTCCTTTGTTTGTAAGGTCTGTTTTGGGATCTGGAGCCTGGAGATTTCAAAGAGATCTGGGAGGGATGAAATCTCCAATCCTGGGACCAGGTTTTTGGAAATGGCCAGGAGACTGATTGCACAGGTGTGTGCGGGCCTTTTCTGAGAGTCAGGATCAGGGTTCTGGGCTCCACCCCGGCAGATAGGAGTCAGGAGGGTCTCCACCAAGGAGAGGTGGAAGCCAAAAGCGGCAAGGAGCTGCTTGGTAGTAGCTATGTGCTAGTGGCCAGCTGTGTGCAAGAGCCATGGTTTTTGTAAGGATCTGCAGGAGTCAGACATAAGCCTGAAGAGGAAGGCCAGTGGAAGATTGTATATCTGAGAAAGCCAGGAGGCTGAACCGTTGTTTTGTGGATGATCGATACCCCTGTGTGGGAAACTTCTGTTTTGAACTTTCATTTAAATAAAAGTGGGCTAAAAAAGGCCTTTAAAAATAAGCGAGTAGCTGTGTGCGTTTAAAAGCTCTACCACTTTGAAGCGAGTTTCCACACCACCTATAACCATATCCTGCAATTCCTTTGTATAGAAGGCTGTATGCAGCACCTGGGCACTGAAATATGGCCATATTTACATTATATGCCCCAATATTCAGCTAATGGTGGCCACAGACCATAGGTGCTCAACTGGCGGCCTTCAAGGTCATAATACAAATAAAGCAGATCATTCATGGAAAGCCTTTGGAGGAAGGGTCCCTGCGAGGCCCCAAAATGTTGATTTCTTATGACTTATAGGATGCTATCTGCACAATAAATATGTGAAACACATTTATTTGGAGTGCTGGTGGCTTCATATCTTCCTCACTACTGTCAGTTGCATCCACCACCCTTTAAGGTTTTGATACAGAACAGTCAATCTCTGACGACACGCTTGTTCTTCTGACACAGTGAAATTTTGAGAATTCACAAACAAGTCTTTTTTTTTTTTTTTTTTACCTGCGGGGATCGTGAACTTCCACTGCAAATTTCTTCTCTCTGAAGTACAAATTCTCCAGCTGCTTCCACTGAAATAGCTGCAAGAGAGAGACAGAAAACGAAGGCTTCCCTATAAATAACCGTATCATTATCTATTTAATGTGCAGCACACTCTGCGGTGAAAACATATTACAGCCATAGGAAGCCTGAGCAAGCAAGCAATTGAAAGCTTAAATCATGCTGGAATGGTTGCGGTTGTTATTTACGGTGAAAATAAAAGGTTTGGAATAAGCACTGTAAACAGAACACAGTCTTTGCTACAAAGAACAGCAAACAAACACAGAGATCCCGAGAAAAAGGAAAGTTTCTGCAAATTGGATTCCAATACTTGAGCCAGGCTTCAGGTGGAGAAACCTTTTAGTGTTTGCAATAAAAACTACAAATATAAAACAAACTAAATTGGCTAAAACCACTTTTATACTGGCGATACGATCAGCTCTGCCTGTCAGGAGGACCTGATTGGAAGCTCCATGTAAGTCTATGGGCAGACAAATCCAAAAGGACGCACTCCCATTTAAATTTGACTACCCCATGTCCATCTAAGTCCAGAAAAAAAAATGTAAAAGGTTGGCGTCCTTTTCCATTTTTTTCTGACGTATACGTGATCTAATATGGGTCCACAAATCCACTTTAGCAAAGCACTGAATGGACATGGATGTCACACCCGTTATATTCTGTTCCAATTCAGAAGGGTGTCTGTTCACGGATCTCCTGAAGATCAGGTCAGACTCGACCTGTGTGAAGAGGCCAAAATGTAATATCTGCTAAAGGAGAGGATTAGCTCATCTCTGTTCAGCAGAGATCACATAACCTGGTGCCTAGGCCTTCAGACATGTGATCAGAAAAAAAGGGAACTTGGAGCAGCAAACTTGTTAAAGTGTTTGTACAGCTAAGCAAAATCTTTTTTGCTTGGGATAGAGTAAGGAGGGGTGAAAACCCTTATGCTAATTTTTCATGTCTCCTGCTGGGTAGCTTTCTCTTCACTTCCTGTTGTGGGGAGGAAACAGGAAGTGAGAAGAAATATCAAAAGTTAGAGTAATCCCCCACTTAGTTGTCACCAGAATAATTTTCCCCATTGGAGGAATTCCCCTTACTTCTTGCACTAGTGACAACTCTAAAATTTTGAATTTCCTCTCACTTTTTTGTCTCTGTGACAATGGTGTGAATCTCCCAAACAATGGTGTGAATCTCCCAAACTACAGGGATACAAGACAGAAAAAACTAGGCCAAAGGGTCTAACATAGCTTCTCTCAGACTTTTTACACCAGTGGAACCCATAAAATAATTTCAAGTCTCATGAAACCCTTACTGAAACCAATTATTTGGGGGTCAATAGCAAATAGCAAGAATACCCCTGACATTGCTGTTCAGTAGGAAGAATCCAACTCTTACTGTGGTGGTCAGAATGTCCCCCATGTCATGCTGCTGGCGTTGCCAACTGGTGTTGGTTCTAGAACTATGAAGGAACCACCAAACAGGAGGTCTATCAACCACAGCCAAGGAACACCTAGCATCCTCTGGTGGAACTCTAGCTGAATGGCTGCTCTAGAGGTTGCTACGGGTTCCTTGAGCTGTGGCTGATTGACCTCCAATCTTATGGTGACGAGACAGTTCCAGGACCAAACACCACTTGGCAGAGCCAACTTCATAACACTATTGATCTCTTTAGCTGTTTGTAAGGGTGACATTTTAACCAATGTAAGGGACATTTTCCCCACTGACCTCCAATGAATTGGTTTTTAACCGGGATTCCCTGAGACCTATAATTATTTTAGGGCTTCCTCTGTGGAAAAAAGGTTGAGAAAGGCTGCTCTAGAGGAACCGTGGTGGAGAATGGTTGACCTAGACTCTATGATTGTGCCTATATGTGCCTTTATAAACACATCCCATGTGCTATAAGCAGAGAACTAGACACAACAGTCAGCTGTCCGAGGTTTTGTTATTGTAGTGCAGTGAAATAGCCTGCTACAAAAAGCAATAAACTATGCAGAAAACATTTAACATTGTGATACATGAGAATGCAAATACATGTTTTTATAGGATATATTAAACACACACAACAGCCGCAAACAATATCTTTTGTGCATACAGAGCTTTGCATTCAGTTTGTTAAAAGGGAGCTTATATTTCCATAGATTTGAATCAAGTTCAACATGCAGAAGTGAACATTTGTGCCATGCCAAACTCCACAGCTTGTGCAACTTTAGCTGTTCTGGAACTTGAAACGCCAATCTGCAAGGCTTAAATCGACAGGACAACCTGTAACATATAAAGTGCAGCAGCCCATAGCAACCAATCAAAAATACATTTCAGTTGTCTCACTAATCCTAAGACTGATTGGTTGTTATCGGTTAGAATTTTCCAATGCTCAACGAATACGGCTATCCATCTCTTGGGTACATGTGACACTATGGGGGTTGATTTACTAAAAGCGGGCAGTGCAAAATCTGGTGCAGCTCTGCATAGAAACCAGTCAGCTTCCAGGTTTCACTGTCAAAGCTTAGTTGAACAAGCTGAAGTTAGAAGCTGACTGGCTACCATGCAGAGCTGCACCAGATTTCTGCCCTCTACAGTTTTAGTAAATCAACCCCGATCTGTTGCAGAACTACAGATTCCAAAGCCTTCTGTCAGACTGTCTCTCTACACACTAGACCAGGCATGTCCAAAGTCCGGCCCGCGGGCCATTTACGGCCCGAGGGTCGGTTTAATACGGCCCTCCATGTCAGTGTGTCTTATGGAGCGAATATGGAGCGGCCGGTCCGGTATTTCCACTGCGGCCGTGTCAGAATACCGGGCCGGCCGCTCAGCTCTGCAGCGGGACCTTACCTGTTCCTCTATCCAGCGGCGCGCTGTCTTCCCGGCTTCTGTAGTGTGGGCGCTGGGCATGACAGCCGGGTGCCAAGTGCGCATGCGCAAGAAGCGGTGCTTTTTGTGACTGGTAAGGCGGTACCTGGGACACATGACAGATCCCAGAAGCCGCCGGACCAATCACAAAGCGCAAGTGCTTCTCGCTCATGCGCACTGGGCACCCGGCTGTCATGCCGAGCGCCATTACAGAAGCCAGGAAGACAGCGCGCGGCTGGATCGAGGAACAGGTAAGATCAAAGAACAACTGCGGAAGTAAGAGCGGGTACCTGTCAAATTCAGGTACCCGCACCCCACCTCCCCAAAGGTCAGCAGTCATCTGTGCTGTCCGCAGTCTCTGGTCATCCCTGTGCTGTCCGCAGTCTCTCTGTCATCCCTGTGCTGTCCGCAGTCTCTGGTCATCCCTGTGCTGTCCGCAGTCTCTGGTCATCCCTGTGCTGTCCGCAGTCTCTGGTCATCCCTGTGCTGTCCGCAGTCTCTGGTCATCCCTGTGCTGTCCGCAGTCTCTGGTCATCCCTGTGCTGTCCGCAGTCTCTGGTCATCTCCTGTACTGTGTCTGCAGTCCTGTTTTCTGCCTCTAAAACCTAGGTGCGTCTTATGGTCAGGTGCGTCTTATACGGCAAAAAATACGGTAACTTGGCATAAAATAAGTTATTTGCATTTAATTGTAATGGTTCAAAGAATGTTTGGAAAAATGTTCGGCCCTCCACCATGTTCACTTCATCCAATCTGGCCCTCTTTGAAAAAAGTTTGGACACCCCTGCACTAGACCATGGTTTCTCCATAAGGGTTCCTCCAGAGGTTGCTAGGGGTTTCTTGAGCAAGTTCTACCTCTCAGATATGTTCCCACTGACACCATTGATCTTTTTAGTGACCTGTAAGGAGGTAATTCATCTCAATGACCACAAGTGTAAGGAGCATTTTTTCACACTGACCATCACATGAATGTATTATGAGTTGTAGATATAGTCATTTTTAGCAGGGGTTCCCTGAGACCAGAAAGGTAATTCAAGGATTCCTGGCTGAGAAAAGCTGCACTAGACCAAAGCAATCACTGGGGATTAAGGAACTCCCAGCATACTTCTTCAAATACCAAGAAAGAAATGCTGGTACTTTTAGTTCCAGAACAAGCTGCCATTCTGTCCTCCAGATTGGAACATTGTTACAAATGATTCTGTTGTCTTTTTACAGCACCAAAAAGAGTGTAAAGTCCTCCTTTTGACAGTATGATCAGAAACATTACAGAATTGTCAGCTCATTTTCATTCCCTGCATGTGTAGTGCCTCCAATATGGAAGTCTCAATGTTCAGGAACCCCAATGCATACCCAACTGTGTGTGTCTAGGACCTACGCAGGCATTCCTGTTTCCAGCCCCCAGGGGAAAAACAACAGTTGTCCTGCAAAGTCCAACCCAAGTGCCACCCCAGGATCAACTGGGTCTTCTGTACCATACCAATAGATGCAACAACTAAAATCTGTGATTGTCTTACATCTGGTTGTGTATGGGTATTTCCAAGAGCAGAAAAGGGGTTAACAGGGCAAAAACGAGCATTTCAAAGCTTTAAAAGTGATCCATGTTGCACGCAGAGATTATCCAACATGTTCTGTTTGAAGAGTGAGCATTTAAGACTCAGGAAGAATGGTCACAACAGGTCCTCAATGGGCAGCACAGTGACATAGTGGTTAACATTTCAGTCTTGCAGCACTGGGGTCCTCTGTTCAAATCCCAGCCGTTACATGACCTGCAAGTTCTCCCTGAGCTTGCGGTGGTTTTCTCCAGGTATTCCCAGTTCGTTCCACACTCCAAAGTCATGGTGGAGGGTAAAATGGCTCCTGTCTAAATTGGCCCTAGTACACATGTGAGATAGGGACCTTAGACTGTAAGTTCCTTGGGCAGGGACGGATGTGAAAGTATGTCAGCCAAAGTATATGTTTCCAGCACTTCAAAAATCTTTGAAATAAAGTCCAAGCGTATGCTCAGTCATTGCAGTGCAACGTTTGGGGGCCATGCAAGACCCCTTTTTGAAACAAGTGTGCAAAGCGAATATTAAACCGTACATGTACCATATGTAAAGCACTACACAAATTGTTGGTGCTATATAAATACCTGAAATAAATAACATAGGAGACAGATTTCTCAATGAAATACCTTCCTGCCTATTTTCATACCAAGTC